TTTTCACAAGATTTATATTTGTCTTTCCAGAACTTCATTTTATTCTTCAAAAATAGATATTGCTGACTCTTCTTAAGGAGAGGGAAAAAAAGAGGGAAGGTTCATCTCTGATCATGCATGAGTTGATTCTGAAAATGTAGGAAAAAGTAAAGAGACTTGATTGCAATGTAGTACTGTTTGGAACAGTGACTGGTAAAGGAGACAACTGGTCTCTATATAAAATGGTAATTTCTCCTCTACAGATCCCCCTTTCATATAGAAATGGCTGTAGTTTCCAATCATGGCAAGGGCTGGGCTGTGTTTCTTCCACCAAAAGCTCTGCTAGCTGACAGAGACCACGGAGCTGTGAAGATAGAAATGGGAGGGAAGGCTGGTAAAGGAGTTACATAAGGCAACAAGATTTTTGATTACAATACAAGAACTGACAACTTGTACTGTCCCACCAGGAAAAGCTACTAGCCAGGATAGAGTTAACAGGTCTTCATTCCCACCATTACAAATGTTTCAAAGTCAAAGGTTTCCAGACAGAAAATGTGCAAATTCCAAATGCCATTTCTAGGCTCCTTCTACCAGAACTTCGCCAACTGTACTGGTAAAGGAGAGACTTCCAGGATGCACACAGGCTTCCTGTCTTTTATAGAGAGTTTTGTGTTTTTCTCTACCATCCAGGCCAAACTCTCCATTCTCCCAAAATGACAAGGATAAAAATCTAATAATGGGGCTGGGGATGGACCACAGTGGTATAAAGCATGTCTAGAAGGTCCAAGGCCCTGGATTCAATCCCTGGTCAAAAAAAAAAAACAAAAACAAAAAACAAAAAAACAAAACGAAACAAGGCATATCCCTTTAGAGTTATAGACTAGGTCAGGGATGCAGCTTAGAGGTAGAAATAGTGCCCAGCACGCATAAAGTCCTGGATTCCATCCCCAGTATTAGGGGAAAAAAATTTATAAATGCTATGTTTAATGTCATAGATATATATTAATTTAAACCATTAAAAATAGTAGATTAATGAATCAATTATGCTTGCTTGAGTAAGAGGATTTCTACCTTAAATGAAATGCCAGAGGCCCTGATGGTTAAGTGCTAAGGCAAGGTCTATTCTGAAACTGCTTAGGAATCCCTATGGGAGTTGGCCCCTCAACCAGGGTTGGGGATTTGGCATCACAGGGAGTTGGGAAAGACATCTTAGTAACCCCAAGGATATATACATATTTGCAACTTACACACCTCCCTTTTTGCAGCAGCTATGGAACACTTGCTGAGCAGTTGTGAAACATTAGCATTCTAAGAACAACACAGAAGGCACATAGGCACACATGAGGGACATTAGCGCATGACATGGATGTGCATGCGTGAGTTAAAAGCCAGCTCCTGCAGTCTGTGTGACAGGGTACCATGCTGCTTACCTCAGCAGGAACAATGCAAAACTGTTAGGCAGTACAGGCTGAACATCTGTAAATCTGAAATATTCTATCTTGAATACTAATGCAAGAAAAAATGTGAAGTGTTTTCAATGATCTTTCCTTTTTAAGGTGTCTTCCATGGATGTTAGTTGGTGTAACATGAGAAAGCAAATCACCCTAAAACCAATGGCATTTAATGCTATAGAACTAGGAAAATAATGCACACATCACTCCTTGCCACTGTTTGCAAAGTCTGTTTCATGTACCGCTCATCAATCTCTTTCAATATAAAGGTTCCACATGTCCTGCGGAGTCATCACACTGAGTTGCCTGTGTGTTCTCTATATCTTCTAGGCCCCAGGTCTAATAGCTCTTTTTTTTTTCTTTTCTTCTTTCTTTCTTTCACTCACTCATGCATTCATTCTTTTTGTTCCCTGGTGCTGGACTTAATCCACGGCCTTGAAAATGCTAGGCAAATGCTACCACTGAGCTACCAATGCCAGTCTTAGAAATGGTGTTTCAGTCTCAATAAATGGCTTTCAACATTTTCCTCTTATTCAAAATGAGGAGAAAAAGCCAGGGTTGAGAAAGTATTCATTATCCTTTTGTGCATTAATTTATACATCTAGGTCCATAAAATAACAACCCACACACACATTAGTTTTTTAAACTTCTGGGAAAGCTCAGGCCAACAAGCCACAGTTAAAATTCAAAGACACCAGGCTGGGGGTTTAGTTCAGTGGCATAAGCACCTGCCTAGCAAGCAGGACCTCATGAGGTCCAAAAAAAAAAATCAGAGATATTATTACATCTATTCTTGAAACTCAAAACATTACACCAACTAGATGGCAGGGTTGGGTTTCTGACTCTCCCATTAGAGAATGGACCAGTGACCAACTAGTATCAGAACAGCATGACTTAAAGGGACCTTGAAACACCACAAACTCATAGCTCTTCATTTAACAGAGGATAGAGCCAGGTCTGGGGCAGGGACACTGCAGGATGACAGCAAGAATTAATCTAAAGCTTTACTTCTCTATATACAGTAACATCAATTATCTTTTTTGGTTTGTTTTGTTTTTTGAGTCAGGGTCTTGCTATGCAGCAGGCTGGCCTTGAACCCATGGTGATCCTCCTGGCTCAGCCTCATGAGTGTTGAGATTATAGACATGTGCCACCACATCAGCTTTCATCAATTCTCCTTAATCTAAAATAAAAATATCATACAGGCATGGTGGTACATACCTGCAGCCCCAACTACTTGGGTTGTAGAGGAAGGAGAATCAGCTGAATTTATGACCAGCCTGGGCAACACAGAAGAAATAAAATCCCAGAAGAAATAAAATTTTTAAATCCTTGAGGATATAATAAGCCTGGAGACCACTGAGTTAAATAATATCACACTTGGTTCTGGTCATTAAGTTCTTAGTAACAAATGTGAATTACACTCCTACCAGGGCCCTTCATTTTGGGCCCTGGTAGGAGGCATCTATCAGCCTAACAATTCCATGAAATGCCCATCTACACAAAATGAGAATATGGAACAGTTAACCCATGGCAACGTCAAGGTGCTTTTCAGATGCTCTTACCTTCTCTCAGTCGTGCTCAGAAGACCTCATCAGAGAAGGTGCTGTAAGTTCTTTGGCTGTGGCTGAACCAAGAATGACTTTTGAGTTCTTACGAGATGACTGTCAAGCAGCAAATCGAGTCAGTCAAGAACTCGTTCAGCCACGATGGAACTACTAGGTTGCTGCAGAACTTTGAGGGTGGGAGTTGGTTTCCACTCTTGCTCATGTGGTAGGTTCAGGAGGCAGCTAGGCCGTCAGGGGTAATTTTCAAATAGTCAACACTTTAGAGGGGTAACTTGCAGAGAAGGACAAAATCAGGACAGCAATTATCTGATGTCCTGCCACAGTCATGTCTAATGGTTTTCAGAAATGTGCCATGTTCTGATTTGTATCAATTCTAAAATTTTGAAAGATTTTGTGACAAAGAGTTAAACAGCTAGATTTGGGAGGAGGGTTTAAAAATTCACTAGAGAATCTAAAGAGAAACCTTCTGTGCTGATGTTTTTTTCAGTGATCCTATATTTGAAAGTGAGGATATAATATAGAGAGCCCTAAACTATCAAGATCCATGTTGAGATTTCCTATTACAGTAGAGCTGAAGTCTGCATCTTAGAATTTACGTAAGAAATACAGTATCTCATCCAATAACCTATTTAGGGATACCACAAAAACTTATCTATACTACTTCTCTTTAAAATAACTATATGGGAAGCAAAGCAAACTATGACTTGTTCTTTTTCCAAAGACATACAAGAAAGAAGCAAGACAAGTGGACAAAAGCAAACACAAAAGCAAACGAGAATGACCTCACAGTCATCTCAGAAGCAGTATGATACCCTGTTCTCCAATTCTCCTGCCTTCATTTAGAACTGACACCCTTTGTTGACCAGAGGCTAGGATTATGACTCTAAATTAATGATCTTGATTTTTTAAAGAATGAACTACGGAACTGGCAATATTAATCCATTTCTAGAGTTCGTTTTATATAAAAGTCATAAACAAAGGAACATGGAGTTAACTGAAGTAAGTCTGATGTGAAAATCAAAACAATTTTGAGAAGAAATTTATTCTCCCCAATATCATGAAATCATGATCATAGAACATCAGATCCCAAGGTCCAGTACCAAGCCAATGAACAACCCTTCTGATCCTAGAAACATATAAAGATTAGGGTGAGCTGTACAGATTAACATACAGGGGTCACTAAGTCTGATTTTAAAAGACTGTATTTCATATTTGAAAGTCATCCAAAAATTCAAAAAAGTTCTCTGACATCCAAAAATTTCAAAGATAGACACTGATTCCTGTCAAGGGAAAGATAATAGTGCACTAGTGAAAGTTTAAAATATTGCTTACATTGTAGTCTTCTCTGTAAAGGCTACTTAAATTTTAAATAACAATTCACTTTGAGCTTGCTTTAGCAATACCCTCCTCTTAAATGTGGGTGATCAGTAGAGACTTTGGGTCCCTGCCCTAACAACAGAAGGGAAAGGCAGGCATTAGCTAGATATCTGTTTTTACATGCACACTTTATAAAGTAGATGGTGTCAAGTCCTTGGGAGTTGTCAGTACGGAAGCATGTTCTTAGGCCAGCAGGAATGAGCCCTTTATCTGGTGGCAATTTCCCTTGAGTCCAGTTCTTCCCGCTACAGAAGAACTAAGCAATTAGCCTTTCAGAATGTATTCTCCATACTAGTAAGTACTGTGATTTAATGGGCTTTCTAGATATTACTTCAATTCTTTAGAGCTACAAGGATGTTTAGCTAGAGCTTTTTCTATACATGTAAGTAAAGAGACTTTTCCAAAACTTTATGCTACAGAATGGCCGTGACTGAGCCCTGAGTGGAATGTTCTGAGTTGTGTTGTGGTGATTAGGTATTAGTTTTAGAAAAGAAGTAACAGAGCCTGCGACAGAGAGACATAAAAGTGTCCCTGCCCTCTAAGACACAGCCCATGCAGAGTGATTAAGCGAGAAGCCAAGCCTGGGTGCCCGCCTGTTAGACTCATGACTCTGCCTGTGACCCACCTGCTGTGGCCCTGCATGTCCCCCAGCTCCTTCTGTAGCCTGGCATTCTTCTCCTCCTCCTCCAACAGCCTCCTCTTCACAGTGCGTAGCTCCTGCTGAGCCTCACATTTGATGTCATTGGCCACCACCACTGCTGTCTGCAGGTCTGCCTGGAACCGCCTCCATTCCTCAGTCTCCTCCTGAAAATACCAGAGTCCATAACTGTGTCATATGCCTGCTGAGGGCTCATCTATACATAGGTTGCAGAATTCCCTTATCAGTCCCTGAGAAACAATGGCCAGCAGTGAGGCCCAGCAGGAGCCACTTTAAATGGCGTCTTGCTACTAGGAAGAGACACAAGTGGAAATTTCACCATCCTGGGAGAGTTCTCTATCCTATGACTGAACAACAGCTGCTTTACTTTTATTTCTGGACAACAAGAATATATGTTTGGGGTCGCACCAGGGGAACACATTCATGAGAAAGCAACCTGGAGATAGCAATTGGTGTTATTCCTATTTCTCCGGAGCTGAGATGGGAATATGTACAGTGAAATTATAAAAGACCTACCATAGCTGCACCCCATATACCTTTATTTGCTTTGTCAGGGTCTTCAGCTGCCGTTCCAGGTCTGACTTCTGCTCTTCCAGCTTGATCACATTGCCTAGAAGTAAACGATTCAGACAGTAGTTGCCACGTGGAGAAGGTAAGACTAGTAGCAAAGGGGCAGTGCCAGAGATCACCAAAGGTTTATAGATCCACCCTTCCTATAAATTCAGTTTTGAGCATCTTGCAAGCAGGAAGCTAGAAGCAAATGGTTCTTCTATGACAGGGAATGGGATGACCTGGGAAACGAGCGTGCTAATTTAGGAAATCTCCTCAGAAGGCAAGGTGTGCTATGGCACAGCACCGTGGGAGGAGACCTCAGCAGCCACTGGTACATTTGAGCTGTGCTGCCCCGCTGCGCCTCACACGTCACCATCCTGAGTGGCCTTCACTGAGGAGGGCAGAGGGCTTCTGTGTAAGACAATGACAGGTCATTGTTCCTGTGATTTTGAAACTCATGTCTAGGGACACGATTCTTACCACAGTTAAACCTCAGAATTACATGTGGTGCTTTTGAAAAGCACAGGATTACAAGGTACAGCTCTGGACCTATGGGTTCACAGTCTGCAAGGGCAGATGAAACCTGGGTCTGTACATACTCTAATAGCTCCACAGGTGGCTCAACCATAGCGCCCTACTGAAAAACAAGTTCTGTCCCTTGTTCTGCCTGCTTCCAATTCTCTTCATCTAGCTATCAGAGACTTTTAAAGTTAAGTCTCATCATGTCAGTCATCTAGTAAAAATTCCTGAATGGTTTTTCTAATCTAAAGCAGGAGCTGTTTATTAAGGATGTGAGCCAGAATTACCAGAGAAGGTTTTTAAAAATTCACTAGTCATGCCTTACCCCAACAGCTCTCGATCAGGATGTGGGGCCTGCGAGTTTGTGTTTGGGGTCAAATGCCACAGAATAAGAAAGCTGTCCTTCTCTTCTTTGTTTGTCCTGTTTTTTTTTTTTTTTTTTGAGAAGGAGTGATTATTCTAGAGCTGGATTTGAGTAGCTTCTGATTCTCCTAACTAATACTTTAATGTCCTTAGAAGAAGTTTAAAAGCCTCTCATAAAATGGACTGGGTTATTTTCAGTCTCTATATAGTATGATATAACCCGAGAGTGGCCCTGAAATTTGCTCTGGACAGTAATTATACACTAAGGTTTGCTTGGTGTGTCTGGGCTGACTTTTAAGGATTTGAGGATAATGCAACCATATTCTCAATAGCAGTATATGCCCCAAACAAAAACAGGCCTTTATTATTTTCAAAGTCAGTGCTGTGTTTGAAATTACACACTGACAAAGATGTCTAGGTTTTTAATTGTACCTCAGTGTGACTTAAGCCTGGGCGACAGTAAGTACTGATGCTCCACAGTTGTGCACTACAGAACACACAATCAATTCTTATTATGCATGCAAGTTTTATAACCAGAGAATTGTTCCTATGGGAAATACAAGATGAGGTTTCTGAGAACTTCTGAGGCTCAGGACATTTTTCATGAACCGAAATGCCATTTGCATTACCCGGATTCATTTACCAGTGTCTCTATCAAACAGGCCCATATCATCAGTATGAGAAACCTTCTCTTTTTTTTTCTAACACTGAGCAGTTATTTTAAAAATTCTTGCCAGCAGACAAGGCAGATTCCTATAGTCCCAGACCTCAGGAGGCTGAGGCAAGAGGACAGCAGCAAGTTAAAGGCCAGCTTAGGGGTACACTGTAAGTTCAAGGAAAACCTGAACTGCCTGGCAAAACCCTGTCTCAAAACAAAACAAAACAAAACAAAACAAAAAAACCAAAACCACTCCAAAACTTCTACATCCTCCTAACCTGTAGAATCTTTTTTGCCCATTTAAACCCTTCTCATGCCTTAATGGCATGAAATGAAGTTTAACATTTTCTTGACTCTGGGGAAAGTGAAATTTCTTTGCTTTTGGTATCAGACAAGGCTATTACAATTTATTGGCCTTCTCTCATGAATTCACAAATTCACTCCCTTTCTCATCTTTTCCACAGTTTTATCATTTATTAAAGGAATTACTTTAGTACTTTCCAGAGCAGCCTTACACTCAGATTGGAGAATTTCTTCTGTATAAGTACCACACGCTAACTGATTGCGCCACTGGAGCATTTTGGAGAATTTCTTCTCTTCTCTGGATTACCTGTGTTGTTGACTGATTAACACTCAGCTCATGCCCAATAACACAGGCCTGAACGTAGCTTACCTAACACACATTTCCTATGTCACAGTATGTGACAGCTTTCCTGACCATGGGGATAGTAGGCAGACTTTAGTACTGCACGTGGGGGCCATTTCCAATAATACAACCACCAAAAGCAAGCAGAAAGGCACTGAAAACATGCCAGTAAGTGGACTACGGAGAGGACACTTGCACACAGAACTAAGACAGGAAAGCAGAGGTCTCTCAGTTTGATCCCAGCTGGGAATACAGGTGCTGGATGAGTCTAACTTTTCACCTTTCTGTATATCCAAAACTAACCGCTGAAGTGCTGCAGTACTGGTTGAGAGATATAGATTTTAGGGAGTGGATATATGAATACAGACCCTAAGTAACGAATGCTGACTGTATATGTTAGGGGACCGCTCAGGTAATTAAGCTATATTTAGGAATGGCTCGTGTTAAGTTTTGTATATTAGTTCTTTTGTTACAGAAGCAAAATACATTAGATGTGATCATTTGATAAGGCTTATTTGAACAAAAAAGGCAATGTTTAATGTCTTTTAAAAATTTTTTCCCTGTTCCAAACAAACAGTAAGTTTGTAAGTAAGTCATACTACTGCCTCTTCAGTAAGAAAGTGGCCAACATCTGTGAGTTACCTGATACCCCACTGTCACCAGGACATGTACTACAAATGTTTTCTCCCTTTAGTTAAAGGGCACACATTGTTTGTTCTGCTCCAAACATCTCTCCATCATCAGACTCAAAAGACAACATGCTGCCCAAACCTGATGACTGCAAACCTGATCTAAATTCTTAGGGAAAGTGCTGTAAACTCTACGTAGTGGACCTTGCTGTTTAGACAGGTGCAGTGGAGTGGCTGTCACAGAAGCATACCTCACATGGCCGATATACACCTGCTCTTTCCACAGTGGCCCCGTGCTGCTGACTCGTGGCCATCAACCTTCTTTTCTTTTGCGCTCTCTCTCTCTCTCTCTCTCTCTCTCTCTCTTTCTTCTTAAGACGGTTTCACTATGCATTTCAGGCAGGCCTAAAACTCACTTTGTTTGCCAGGCTGGCCTCAAACTCAAAGCAACCCTCCAGGGTGCTGGGATTCTAGGTAAGTGTTACTACCACAGCAGGCATGAACTTCCTTTTCTATCATTCAGTTTTCCACAGTAATTTAAGAGTAACAGCTCTTTGTTGGGGGGGTTGTTTGTTTTTGTTTTTTGAGACAGGGTCTTGCTATATAGTTCAGGCTGTTCTTGAATTCAATACATAGTCCAGGCAACCCTTGAACTCATGGTGATATTCCTGCCTCAGCCTCCCACCTCAGCCTCCCAAATGCAGAACTACAGCTATGTACCACCAGGCCCAGCTAGCAACTGTTTCTTAGCCATTCCAAAAAAAAAAAAAAAAAAAAAGAGAGAGAGAGAGGGAGGGAGAGAGAATCATTCCTCTTGGCAGTTATAGCGTGCTCAAAGGAAAAGCTCTTCCTAAACTCCGGCCAGCACACATCCTTGAACACCCTTTGGCAGTGGCTCGCTGCCTTCTGCTCCGTTAGCTGCTACTTACACCTCTCACCGTTTCATATAGGTGTGCCTACACTTACTCTCTAGCTCACTGATGAGCTGATTGTTGTGTAACTTGACAGCCCGGTGCTGTTCCACCTGATCTTCCAATTCAAATATGGTTTCTTTCATGTCTTTTATCTCTGCATCACTCTCTGATGCCTTCTCTTGCAGTTTTAGGCTTGTTCTGCTCAGCTGTTCTGCTTGATGATCACAAATATCCTTCAGGTAAGAATAATCTTTTTCCATCTAGAAGAAAAGGAATGTTCCACAGTTAATTTAACAATGAAAAAGCTCCCCATACATCAGCAGCCAGGCTCCATGATGCAAAGGCTAAAGGCATGTGCTGTTTCATTCTCAGGCTGAAAACCAGCCACGCCTTAGGGGTGTTCAAAGGAGCACAACACACATGCCTAAACGGCTGGTTTCTGTGCCCTTCCTATAAACAGAAAGCTGCATGTATTTAAATGTCCTTTCCTGTCCTGGATAGAAAAAAACGCTTCCACCAGAGGCCTTGGGGCTGCACGGGCGGGCGGGAGGGCTGTCAGTTGTGACTGTCGGCACCTCACATCCATTGTGGAGCAGCGCCCTCTGCTTGTGAGACATAAACAACACTACTGAAAACTGGGTAAACTGCTGTACCTCAAAGCTATGTGATGTTGCAGAGGTTCTCTGGATGAAAAAAGTACAGGTGTGACGGAAAGCACACAACACAGAAAAGTGCACACAACAGAAACATAGAAGTAGCACAGAACAGCTGTTTCACTTGTTCAGTCTTTACAAATTTTAACAATTAACACAGAAAAACATTCAAAATAATGAGAAAACCATGTACCCAGACTTAAAATAATTAAATTTCCACATTTGCTAAATATGTATACTTTAGGGTTGAGGATTTGGCTCAGCGGCTCAAGTCCCTCCCTGGCAAGTGTGAGGTTGTGAGTTCAATCCCTGGTACAAAAAAAATTTTATACTTTAATAAGATTTGTTAATGCCTCAATTTTTCTTATCTCAGACAGTTATAAGTATCACCCTAAAATTGGCGCATGGTCATTCCCAGAGGAGTTTTTCCATTTTTACTATAAATGTATAGGCCTATGATAATACTTAGCATTACTCTGGATATTTTAGAACTTTCACACAAATAACATATAATGGTTTTGCAGCATACTATACTATACTTCAGTATAAGACTAATATGATTTTGTCCTGTACTATACAATGCTTTTTTGGTTATTTAATGGGGTGTTATAGTTTTTGTTTTTTTGAGACAGAGTATCCTTATGTAGTACCAGCTGAGCTTAAACTGACTTTATAGCTCAGGCTGGCCTTGAACTTGTGGTGATCCACCTGCCTCAGTCTCCTGAGTGCTGAAATTACAGACAAGTGCCAGCACGCCCAGCTCATACTGTACTCTTGCAATTTGTTTTTAGCTATTTTTGAGTATATCCATATTGATGTGTGTTACACTAGATCACTGTTTTCACTGCTCCACATAAGAATTTCACTGTATGAACATACTGATTATTTTATTAGTGTCACAGTGCTCCTTTTCTAGTCTTTTAATTAAAGTTACTAAATAGCTGTATATCAAATAATAAGCTTCTTACTTAAGAGCTTTCTGAGTGTTTTCTTAAACTCTCTTTTACTTCATATGCAATCTTTTTTCCACATGCCTTTCGTATTCTAAGCTTTCTGGCTGTGAACCTTCCTGGGATAGGGATCTTGTCTACTTTATTTGGCACCAGATCCCTCGAGTCTGCACAATGTGACCCAGCGAAGGCATTAGCTGAGTATCTGATGAGTGAATGAACAAACACTGGGAGACAGTATTGCAGTATTTTTCACTTGGGAAGCTGGGATGGAGACGAGGAGGTCAATAATAGACAGAAACCAGTAATTGAACCAACATGAAAACCAACGAAGCCAAGGAAGATGGCCTGCATTGAAGTCAGCATTGCTCTGTGAAACTTGTGCTTTATTATAGAAGCGTGAGGCCCAAGACTGTAACGAGATACGTCACTGCAAGTGGTGCTCAAAAAAGGATGAAAGCTGCTGCAGATCTGAGTCAGACTGCCAGGGTTTAAGTCCAAGTCTACTTGTTAAAGAGTTCAAGGCTGCCTTTTTGTGTCACTGGCCTTTCTGCTGTTAGTAATGTAAATTCATGAATTCAGCTTCTCTAGCTCAAGAATTGGACTACTAAACACCCAGCAATGAGATTTCGATGTTTTATTGCAGAGAAAAATCATTTTCATGCCTTCCCAGCAACTCGCATGTTTGAAAATAAACTCCTTCCAAAAGGGGATGGTGGGACTGCACTGCAAATGGACTTGAAGGGCTTTCCCAGAAACACCAGGACTTCCAGGAGAGAGGACAGACATTCCTGAGAGAAAGCCCCTTCCTCGTGTGCTAACAAGTGTCAAAGGCAGATGGCAGCCAGACAGCTGTACGGTCTTCAGGACAGGGATCCTGGGAGCGCACTCTGATCAAAGGGGCTAGAATCTTACTTAGCCAGTGTCACTACCACCACCTCAGCATGTCAGACCATGAACCTGTGAAACAGGTACTGTGGTGGAGATAGAGATACAAATGCAGATGCAGATGCAAGAAGTTGACTGACATGTGCTCTGGAGATCTACCTTGTAGGACGGCCAAGGAAGTAGGATCCTACAGGAAAACAGTGAGATAGGCTGTCAGACAAAGACCTGGGCCAATCCCTCAGGAGGTCGACATCTGGATACCCTTTAGTTCTGCCCCAGATCACAGCGAGGTCTGGCCTTTATCCTCCTAAAGGATGAGCCATGAGATCTGGCCACCCTGGGGAAGGCAGCTCTCCTCAGTAAAGCCCTAGAGGGAGACCCCAACCTGCTAGTCATTGACTAGTACTCCCTATCAGCTGGAAGGACAGTGTGCTTCAGTCCTGGGGAGACTCTGCAGGTATCAGAGAACACTGTAGGGCCACACATACATCTAGATCTTCCTTCAAGGGCGTAAACACTGCAGATTTACTAGAAGATAATCTGACTACAGAGAATAAAGGTCTCCATAAGGTGCACCCACAAGGCTTTCTTAGTTGAGTAGTATGAACAAAGGCACAAAAGAAATCAAGTTAGAGCTCAGGTAAGAGCAAGATCTCATCCTACACAAAATAGCCTCAAGTCAGGAGTGGTGGCACATGCCTGGGATCCCTGGACTTCTGGAAGGATCACAAGTTTGATCCCAGCCTGGAAAACTTAAGAACTTAGTAGGAGCTTATCTCAAAATACAAAATAAAATCCGAGTGTGGTAGCATACACTTGTAACCCTAGTGCTTGGGAAGTAGAGGCAGGAGGATCATTGCAAGTTCTAGGCCAGCATGTGCTACACAGTGAGTTCAAGTCCAGCGTAAATTGTACAGTGAGACCCTGTCTCAAAACACAAAAAAATAAGAAGGGGTGGAGATGTAGCTCAGGGCAAAGGCCCTGGGTTGAATCCTCGGTATTAAAAAAAAATAACAAGAGATATGGGTAGACATTGTTAGGTCATTATAATAAATTCTGAGTAAATTACAGTCATATAAATACTTGTGCTAGAAACCAGTGATGCTGCCAACAGGAAGATAACTGACTTGTGAAATAAACCCTCCATCACTGCTTTCTGTGTAATGATGCTTTCATTTGTTTTTGTTTTATTTTTGTAGCACTGGGAATTGCACCCAGAGCCTTGCACATGCTAGCCAAGCACTCTGCAACTGAGCCGCATTCTTAGCCCACGTATGTCATTTTACTTGGCTTCTGTCTGAATTTGGTGGGTTATATTGTCTATTGGATATAATTAGCTTGACTATTAAAGTAAGTAAGTAAATTATTTCTCAGGGCAGAGAATGTGAAAGACATTAAAAATCTCTCACCCTCAATATTGCCGCCTCCTCTAACATAGCTGAGAGTCTTTGCAAACCTCAGGGAAAGTCAAGTGAGCTGCTGGGAGAACCTCCGGGTCATACACATTTACTGCTCTTAAAGGGACTGGAAAGGTAAAGAGAAGCTGCAGGCTGGCTGAAGGCGAGGTTAGGGGTTAACAAGTCTGATGAGAAAAATGGGTTCACCAAGAGACGTTGACCAGACAAGGAAACTCCGAAGAGGAGACAGCCAGTGCTGGTCCACGTGGGGGACCTTCCCAGAGGAGCCACACGTAAGCACAAGGACCACAAGTACTAGGGATCTAGGATCCCTGAAAAGACCACTTTCCCTGAACCACAAGGCCACTTCCAAAACCTCTCGTTCAGCTCCCACCCTTTTCAGACCTGATGGGGGAAACCTGGCCAATCTGATATATAACTGCTACGTGTTCCAGGCCACTAGACTGTGTCATATCATGTGAAAAGGGTTACACATTCTGTCTGTATAGCTTCCTGAGCTTCGGTTCCTGATGCACACAGCCAGGCAGGTTGAAGCCTGTGGCAAATTTCCCTGCAGGCTCCTCCCTTAGCTGCTACCCCAAAGTGCTTCCTCCTTTGGAAAACTTGGAGAAGAGGCTCTGACTATGGAAATTCTTGATATGCTTTCCTCCAAGGACTCTGCTTCACCAGAGAGTTGATGCTTTATGCCCACAATGGGGTAAATTATGAGTTGAAGATGACTGAAATTTCCACATGTTTGGATAAGTAAATTTAATCAACTCTCTTGCTGCCCCGTTTTACCTAAAGATTTCCCTCAACTCTATCAACAGATCTGCCAACACTTCTGAGTACCTCCCAGGGTGCTGGGCAAGCCCAAAGCTTTCCCACAGCAATCCTGGTTGATCTAGGACACTGATGTAATTTACTGAGCGACTCTGGAGATTCTGCAGGACAGTAACCCCAGAGAGCTGAATACTTCTCTAAAGAAGTATCCCTGTAGCTGAGACTGAAAGATCCACCAGGGACTAGGCAAGAGGGAAACAAGAGACTTTTTAAAAAAAATTTTTAAACAAATACCCCAAGGTAGGCAAAAGACTGGAAAGGAGGGAGGTGGAGGGGCTGAGATTAGAGACACAAGAGATGCCAGGCTGCTTGGCTCTGTGCATCAACCAAGTGTCTCAAGTGGTGGAGAATGGCTGAAACAGATACCCACGAGAGCTTTGGGGGGAAGAGTGAAGGCACACTGTCCTGCTGGGAGTTACAAACAATGGCCAGAGCTCACCCCAAAATTACCGTTGCCCTGTTTTCTTCCCATCAAAATCCAAATTTTGTTCAAGAATTAGCCTGTGATCTTGTGATTTCAAGAGAGAGG